CCTGCACAGTCAGGACCCTGGCTGCACTCTCAGGACCCTGGCTGCAGATCTGGACTGTGAGAACCATAAGTTTCTCAAAGACTTTCAAAAAGCGAAGTTGATTTGAAGCCTTTCTAAAATAAAAGCTAGCATTGAAAAACTCCCTGTGAAGCTAGCTTCCTTTCACAAATAAGTATTGTTATATTGGAAACCTATGTACACGCAAAATTCTAATCCCCACCAATCTCCTATCTGGAATAATAGATATGTGCTACATAGAAATAATTCTCTGTAATTGGATTGCTGGATGGATAAGGGCATTTTGTCTATAAGACAGTTTCTAAACGACAATGGAGGTTGGCTGTCCTATGAGGATTTTTGCTCACTGCATATTTGAATCTGCTCCTATGCTCAGTTTAACACTGTCATTAACTGTAATCCGGTGTTTTGTCAGATGAGCATACCCCATAAGACATCCCTTTAGTTTTGTGCAAAAAATATACTTTAAACTACCTTGGCGGGTGTGTATCCCTTTAGTCATGTACAAAAAAATTAACAATTTCAGGTCAGATCGCCATACGCTTAAAAAAAACCCCACCAAAAAGTAAGTAAGTAATTAATTGTTTTTCTGTACATGACTAAAGGGATACTGGCCTGTTGAGGTAGTTTAAAGTTTATCTTTTGTACAAAACTAAAGGGATAAAGGGGTATTGACTATGGGTATGCTACTCTGACCGGGTATGCTATTCTGACAGAACACTGGCAGCAAACACGTGCTGCACGCTATTCCTGAAGGCTTCGAATACAACTTCCGGAACAAACTTCAGGTCCAGAGAGTGCAGGAGACCCAATTTTGCAGGTCTGCAATGGAGGGCCCTGACTGTGCAGTTCTGGGTCCGGACATTGAAGTTCTCGGTCCTGAAGTGTAGGACTGGATCCTGACTGTGCGGGTCTGGGTCCTGACAGTGCAGGTCTGGGTCCTGACTGTGCAGGTCTGGGTCCTGACAGTGCAGTTCTGCAGCCAGACTCTCTTAAGCATTGGAATCAACAGGAGAAAGAAACCAGAGATGTTCTAAACACCTAGAAGTATCTTCCAAAACTATTTGTGTTTTATATTATTTACTGTATCGTGCTGTATTTACTGTGGCGGAAACGTCTTTTTGATGGATTCTCTTGTCCATACTGATTATACTGCTGTTTCTAACTAATGTCTTAATATTGCAATTTAAAAAAAATGTATTCATATAATATATTAATTTATTTCCAAACTTATTTAATTCAGTGGAAAAAATCTATTTAGACAAAGTTTGATCAATGAAAGGCTGATAAAAAAATATATATTACATTAAGACACAAGCTCACAACCATTATTTGCTCAGACGCCATCCAGGTTGCGAACAGAAGTGACATCCCATTTTTAATCCATGGGATTCAATGTTATGAGATATAATGTTGATCCACCCTTTGCAGCTAGAACAGCTTGAGCTCTTCTGGAGGAAATGTGCAAAACGTTTCGGCTTGTGTTTATAGGAACTTCGGTCCATCAGAGAGAGAAGCTCGATTCATCGCAGAGGACAAACTCCAGCTACCTAATCAAAGAAGCCTTCTAAGACTGTTCAGGTGGGATTAGCTGACAGACAGGAAAAGGACAGCTGAGGTTATTACCTGACTCTGACAGAAAGTGTTTGACCAAGCTGCTCATGCCCAGTGGCGTTACGTAGTCCTTGTTTCCCTCTTTGTGCTGCAGACCTTCAATGTGACAGGTGAGGGGCTGGAGCAGGCCAGCTGAGAGCAGCTCTGCGTAGAAACTGAACAAACACACCATCAGAAATTCACAGGGAGGGAAAACTGTTTGGTGTCAGAGGAGGTCAGGTGAAGCGTACTTGCTGTGGGACTGAGCGTAGGCAGGAGTGGCTGTGATGTACTGCGCACCCAGGTCAGCGGAGTGAGACACGGCGTCTGGAGGACGGCTGGTGGACATCCTGCCCCCTGACAGACACACAGGCAGAGGCGTAGAAAGAACATTTTTATAAGGGCGGCCAGGCGATAAGCGATGTACACTGAGGGGTGGCTGAAAGTGGCCTCAGGGTCCATCTGCACTGTTCCAACGGGAAAATTAACGAGCACCACATCCATATTCGCTAAATAAAGACTAACTATACTTTCCTGCAGCCTTTCCTAAAAAAATAGATGCATATATTTCAACATCCGTGCTTTCTAAATAAAAGGTATAGTGGAAACAATTCTTTCAGGTTAGAGTTCTGGGGCGCACATCTTTTCCATTACTTACCTAATTTTATCCATAATCATTATGCATAGCATTGATATTTACAAGAACTAATATCTACAAAAATTTATTATTTTTTTCATTTTTACTAAAATATTTATTTATGTATGATTTCACTGAAGACTCATAGATGACTTGCAGAGACATCATTTTCTCTTTACCCCATATAACATAAAATCTAGTTCTGAAAGAGCATGAATTCTGAACTTATGGTCTTTAATATTAGTTCATTGATGTGAATAATTAACAACTGTATTTTTGTTGTCAAGTATTTGTTAATGTATGAACAATTAAAATGTCTTAAATATTCAACTTGAGAGTATTACTGTTGCCAACATCTGTATTAGAGGGAAAAAATGGTAGGGGTGGCCACTGATTGGCTAAAGCTGAGCGTACACTGGGCGATTATTTTGCCCTTTTCGGGCCAACTCTCCAGACGTGCGAAAATTTTCCGATCGGGTCAACTTTCAGCCTGATCGTGCGTTGTGTAGTATACATGGAGTAACGAGGGCTGATTAGCCTCTCACGACCACCTCCCAATCATCAATCAAACATTTGATTTTCTGCCGACCGTCGTGGGCAAATCGCTCAGCGGGTAAACAAGGATCTCCTTTTTTCTTCCTCCTCTCAGATGTAAACACAGAGGCATGGCGGGGGTGCAATGAGTGAAATGGAGTTCTTTCTGTCAAACTGACAGACTGTAGCAGCCATGTTTGCTCAGCCATGTCTTTGTCCAAATACATCGTCTCCTTTTCTTTTTAGGGCTTTCAGCACAAAATTGCACAAATTGCCGAGGCAGCGCGTTTCACTCTAGTGAGCTTCATATTCCTCTTCTAGTGTATTAAGGGGGGGATGGCCACCCCTGGCCCCCCATCTAGCTCCAGCCCTGAGCTGATCTGAGGTTGAAGGTTTGGTTGCCTGTTCTGAGGAGAATCAGCCATTAAAAGTCCAAATTAAAGAGATTTTCACATGGAGCCTTTAAACACAGAAACTTTATTGAGTCTCTATTGGCTGCAGGTATTTAGTTCTGATGAAGATGCATTACAGACTACAGAAGCATGAAAGTCATTTATCCTGCTGGGTTCCACCATGGTGAGCAGTGAGGGGACTGACCTGTACCCCTCGCCTTGTCCCACAGCACCACCTGCACCCTGCCCTGCAGCGCCCTGCGCAGCAGACATGCGCACAAGCTGCCGGTCAGACCAGCTCCCACGATCAGAACCCGGGACATCTTCAACAATAGCACCTTAGCTTAGCTTCAAAACTGCTCTTTAAACGGGTTACAAAACAAAACAACCCTTATTCCGGTGTTTAATTACCTCACATCCGGAAAAACTCTTCCGACCAATCAGAGAGAGAGCTTGTTGGAATAGTGTGTTAATGTCCCGTTTCAATAAAGCTTTGAAAAAAAAAAAAAAAAAGTCAGTCTAACTGAGTGACGTGATCCTCAGAGTTCAGACAGCAGCGGCGGCAGCAGCAGGTAGGTTCACCTGATTTACCGTCCAACCTGAAATAGTTTACAAATGTTAATAAACAGGCTGTAGCAGGAAAATGCTGCAGACATATTAAAACAGGCAAGGACTTAGGTTTGATTTCCACTTTGGTAGGGACACTATTGCTCCTAAGTTTCATTAATATCATTTTACCTATAAAAAAATATGCATGCTTTTTTATGCTTAACATGAGCATCAGGGTGCATTTGGTTTAAAGAGAAAAGCAGCATTTCTTGCTACATTTATACTAATTTTATTAGCACTACACTCACTAGATGCTGTTTATCAATGTTTGAAGTATCAGCGGCTCTGATGAATGATGAATTAGGACTTTTTTCCACTTTGAAAAGATTTAAACTTACCAATGACTAAGACAGTAGGTAAATATGTGCCTATTTAACCAAATATAGTCTAAATATGTCTGTTATATGTGGATTTATCCTTTATTTTCTTTTGAAGATATAGAATTGTGCAGAGGTAAACAGGTGAAACAGTCTTATTTTTTAAATGCTCTCTCTGTATCATGAACCAACGCAAAATAACACATTCAAGGGACGGAAAATACATTTATTTTATTTACATTTAGTGGCATCATCTATAAAAAAAAAACAACAACACTAAGAATGAGACTAAATTTATTCCAATATAAAATCACTTTTAACAATTATTAAAAGATAATATAACACCATCTTATTACATCTATAATGTAATAATATCCTAAATAAACAGCTGGATTCAAGCATTTTTACCAAACACTAATGTTTGTAATAATTAACTTATGGACTGTGTGGAAATCTATGTAAAATAAAATCAGATGTTTAGGCGCTATCTCGTGTTGTTATGCTCTATAAAAGAAATAACACCTGCTATTTATAGCTGAACTGCCTCTAAGGGTCGTAATAAAATGAAAACAGTAATTGCAATGAATTATTGTTAAAAGGGAAACCTTCATATTTTCTTTTTCAGTCGGCTGTGCCTAAGAATCAGCAATCAGCAGCTTTCACCTGTTTTAGTGTAGATGGAATAAAGTTTTTTTTTTTTCATTAGGACTACTTTCGTTGCATAATATTATTTTAAGTAACTAGCGTGAATAAAATTCTTATTTAGTGCTCCAAGCACGCGCGCACGCATACGGACTAGAAAACAGCCAATCAGAAAGAGGGAAGGCGGGACTTTAGGCCGAACAACCAATGAGAGTGGAGTTAAACAGCACAGTTACCTATTTAACGGACAGGACTCAGATGGAGCGGCAGCAGCAGCTACTGAGCTGCGATAAGAAAAGAATTGGCTGTGATCACATACAGTGGCTGTGTGTGATCCACCACGCTGAATTTTAAATTATAAACATGTTATTAAAATCGAGTTAGTGATAGAGACAAATAGGTTGGTCCAAAATTTTGGTAGAGACATTTCCCTATGGACCCTACGCAAACCTACGCCCATGAAAACAAGCTTTAAATATGTAAAAACCGAACCGTGAACGTTTTAATGTCAATTAAAGCCGGTTTAATCAGATTAAAAAGCGGTTTAAAAACATGTTGATAAAATGGCTAAAACAGGCTGTAAATGCTGGGGGGTTAAAACAGTCGGTAAACATGTTGACAGTGGGATAAAACAGCCTGAAATCAGTCAGAAGGCTTTTCTGCCTTCACTGAAAAAAAAGATACTTTGGATGAACTTAAAAAAATTACTGTAATTTGTTACACCTAAATTTA